GCAAGATCGCAGACGTATTGTTGGAGATCTTCACCAACACTCTCCGGAATTCCATGGACCTCTAGATTAGGTAACCGGTTGTACTGCTCAGCCTCATTCAGGTCCAACTGCAGCCGGCCGATATGTGCAGCATGCTCAGATATTGTGTTTTTCAGCTCGGTCACCTCCGTCCTGAGGTCTTTTGTTTCCCTCTTATTTGTAGACATCTCGGCAAGTAACTCGTCATATTGGCGAGAGGTAAATTCAACAGAGCTTTTTAACTCCTCCACAGTCACTTTTAACTCCGCGAATGTAGTCTTCAAGGTCAGCAGGTCATCTACCTTTGCTGGAAGTGGAAGCAGACTGACCACTTTGTCTCTAAGGGAGAGTAGCTGGTCCAGTTTTTCATGCACAGTAGAAAAATCTGCTGAAAAACTTGCATCCTCCGGCTGTTGGTAGTCCGCACTCGACATGGACGCGTAAATATTAGAAGTATTCGGAAGCACTGGGATGAATTTCAACTTGCTATTATTTCTATCCTCCCAATTGCTCATGTTTTTGTTCTGACGGAGATCAACATTCATCGGGATGAAGTAGGGCAACTCACTTTACCAGGCTTCAAAAGTGTCTTCTACACCCGCGAAAATAAGCGCGGAGGTGGCATTGCGATCTTCATTAAGAATAAGATATCATTTACGGAACTTCGTTTAACATTCAACACAGCTGAGTCAAAAGTTTTGCATATAATTACTTCTGCCTATGATCTCTATCTACTTACATTTTATAGACCACCTTTGGAAAAAGCTGCAGATTTTCTTTGTGACCTGCGGAACAGTCTGCTAACTTTGCCGGCAACTGCTTCTTTATGTCTCGTCGGGGACTTTAATATTGACTTGCTGAAGCCTTCAATGGCTCTAGTTTGTGAATATCTGACACTGCTAGCAGATCATGGCGTTGAGCCAGCAATCACTGTCCCAACAAGAGAAGAGCTTTTAGGAAACAAACCAGTAATCGCGTCTATTGACCACATCAATCTGAGATCGGCATCCTTCAAAACAAAAGCAGCAGTAATTACTCACAAATTATCAGACCACTATTTTGTCGCATGCCATTTAGAATTCCCTCATGATACGCCGACTTCAGTTTCTAACAAAATTCATCGGGTCGAAATTGTTGATCGACAAATGTTTGACAACTTTGTCTCTAATTTCGACTGGAATGCTTTTCAGCATTCTGTTACACCTTCATATATTTACCCCCGTTTTGTGCAGCTATATAAGCGGTTTTCACAATCATCAAAGAAAGTAATTCTTCGCAAACAACGAAATTTAAATTTACGTTGGTTAAATAAGGATATATTATCTGCTATACAACTTAAAGAAATAGCCTAGAGACGAAGCCGGCGCTCACCTCATAACTCTAACCTTCAAGCTGAATTCCGGACTCTTCGGAACAGAGTAAGCGCACTTATTCGCTCGGCTAAGCGTCAATATTTTCAAAAACAATTCTGCGCATCAAAGTCCGACTTTGCTAGGTCCTGGTCACTGATTAATGAACTACGCGGAGTCGCAGCACCTGGTTTACAGGTTGACACTTTTGGCGAATTTTTTGGACCCGATTCCCTTGCTACGGCGAATACCTTCAATGACTTTTCCGCCAAGTTTTCGGGCAAAGCCAGACAAAGCACAACACCACCCAGTCTTTTACCCCACTCAAAATTAGCTTCTGCATTTCTTCCACTGATGACAATGATCGATCTGGTGTCTATAATATCAAGTCTCAAACCTAGAAAATCACCAGGGTATGATGGAATTCACCTCTGCGACATCCGAAGAAATTTTAGGCACATACAAGACACACTTCTACTCATGTTTAACGGAATAATAGAGTCAGGTGTCATTCCTTCAGGATTAAAAACCTCAATTGTTAAACCTCTTTTCAAGGGAGGCAAACGTGACCAGGTGGAAAACTACCGACCAATATCTATTCTTCCGTGTCTTGCTCAAATCTTGGAAAAGTATATTTATATAGTTATGTCTTCTTATATGAAAAAATATGACATAATATCGCAATCCCAATACGGTTTTGTGCCGGGACGTGGGACACAACCTCTTCTTGAAGCGTTATCAGACAAGTTAAATTTTGGTTTTGATCACAACTTATTTATCTGCGCATGTTTCCTAGATGTGAGTAAAGCATTTGACACGGTTTGCCATTCTATTTTGCTTAAAAAACTTTCCTTTATCGGTTTCCGGGGACCAATCTTATCTCTGTTAAACAATTTTCTCCAAGGTCGATCGCAGCTTGTTTCCATCGATGGCATGCAAAGCCTAAAAGTTTCCTTAAAACCGGGGGTTCCACAAGGTTCAGTTCTTTCACCATTGCTTTTCAATATTTATGTTAATGACATGAGTTTATCTGTTTCAAACTGTACCATTTATCAATACGCGGACGATACTATTTTGCTGACGAGCCATATCTCATATGCCAGAGCAATGGGTTTGCTCCAAGACTGTACCTCAGAGATAATGAACTGGTTTACGAATAATCTAATTAATATAAATTTTTCGAAAACTAAGCTCGTTTGTTTTCACAATCCCCTTAAAGTTGTTGACCTCAATATTCCTCTCTTGCTGCACACGTCTCACTGTGTCCCATGCCAATGTGTCCCAATTTTTTGTTCATATACTGTGAAGTAGCTAGGAATCACATTCGATTCAGATCTCTCCTGGAACTCACACCTATCAAAACTCTGTTCCAAATTAAGAAGCGTTTCCTGCCTATTATACCATATAGAGACATTTCTACCTTTTAATCTCAGGAAGCTTATAGCCCACTCGTTAGCTTATGGTACACTCCGATACGGCGTAACAGTCTTTGGCAAATGTTCTGGATTGTGGCAGGCCAAGATAAATTCAATTCTAAAAGGAATCTTACGGAATGTTCAGTATAAACCTGCATCCTCAGATCACGATCTCCTTAAGGCTTTGTCCATGCCAAATCTGCAATCTTTGTTTTTTGAATCAGTCGTGCTTGAACACTACTGGAAGGATGATTTTAAAACTCTTCGTCCGAATATGAGACAATTACGAAAAATATCGAAGTTTCTTGTTCCCGCTTACTATACTCGTTATGGTAAAAACATGCGGGCGGTCTATGTGCCTCAAATTTTTAATTCCCTACCTCCCAGCATATGTGACTTTACCTCAACAAAAAAGCTCAGAAGAGCGCTTCGACATATTGATATGACAGACGAACCTTTGTGAATATTTCATAATTAGTTCTTCCGAAATTTTTTTTAACATGTGCGTTTTTTTTACTGTTTTATGAGTTATAGTTATTATTATCATTATATGAAAGCAAAGAAAGTCCTCAAGATCTTAAGTGTCACAAAAACTGAACAACAATTTCTACTACTATCAATGGCGAACAATGGCGAAAAGTGACGCCAGTGCATTGTGTGTGTATGTGTTTTTAATACTTTTCTGACTTGATTTTTTTTCTTTAGAAAGGGAAGGGGGGAAGGGGAGCTTTAGTATGCAGTTGGAACTGCTGCAAAAACTTAGTGATAATTCTGCTTTTTCTTTTTTTATCTAGAGCTGACTCTTTCATTTTTATTTCAATTTACATAGTTGGTTTTGCCGCACAAGCCCATGATGGCTTTGGCGAACCTGCACTTTTCCTCGATTATGTTCTTCCGTCACAAATAAATTTATTATTATTATTATTATTATTATTATTAAAACAGACGTGGTGGCAAGCGACAAGTGAAGTAACGGTGCGTACGGGCGATGCGGGCACTGCGGGTTGGTGCAGTTGATGACGCGGTGCAGATTCCTCAACACTCGCGACAAGGGCAAGCACTGCATATAAGCATGGTGACTGGGGATAACTGATCATTTAATGCTGGAAGAATGTCCGAAATACTTTAAAATACTCTGCCTCTTCTTGACGTTCACCGGCTTTTCCCGTTTCGGCAGGCCTAGTAAACCGAGTGAGCAGAATCTGACAAAGTTTATCGAGTGGTATTAATAAAGCACACTGTATATTCACTCTACGCGTACTTCATAATATTTTGATGCGAAACGATAGTTATTTCCGGTGCAGGTGGCCAGGTTTGGCGAAGATCTCGCGAGTACATCACAGCTTTCGCGTGTCAAACTTTCCGGGGGAACAGGCCAATTTTGCGAAATTTCGATTTTGCTAAAGCTCTGCGCGTTGGAAAGATGCATCGTGTGAATAAAAATTTACTTGTGTCGCTTGCGCTCTCGTGCATCTCCTACTTGTGGCTCGGAGCAAAGATGTCGGTCTGCGGATTCCGTGGTCCTGGGTTCAATTCTTGCCAAGCTCCTTGGCGAATCTCTCTTATTCAAATGTTTATATCAATTTCCTGCTAAACGCTATGCATCCTTCATGTTGTATTGGCCTGCGCGTAACACTTTTTTTCTTACATTCGAGCGTTACGCCTCTCTAGAAAATCCAGCCCAGAACACATACAATGTTTTCACCTGCTGAGGGCCCCGTTAGGCGGGCTTTCTCTCATAGTGCCTCTTCATGCGGTGAAGTGGATTTGCAGAGCGACGCCGTTCAGGTTGCTAAACATAGGGGGGATTGTTTCTTACGGCACTGGAGATCTCTCTCTTCCTTCAGTTTCCGGCAAACACCACCGATGATTTACGAACATGCGGGTGCGTGATGCAATAATATAGAATATATTCATCGTTAATGATTCTATTTCCTTAGCCTGCCGAAGAATTCCGAGGTGAAACAATAGATGGGAGAAAAAGCGCGCTCTCTCCGGCTGATCGCCGCTGGCCGACGAACCTCCGCCGCGTCCAAACGAGAGGCGGGCGAAGCCCCGGAGTCCCCGGGTTCGCGCCCCGCGCGTGCGGCCATGTGCTCGGTCCGTGTCCCCCGCCGCCGGCCACGTGATGCGGAGCGCGGTGCGCGTGCGCGCTCGGCTCGGCGCATGCGCACTCCGTCCCGCCCGCGCGCGATTTCCCCGAGCCACGCTCACTCGAGTCTGGCTGCTTTGGAACGGAGAAGCCCGAGTCGCTCTCCCTCGCATCGCGTGCATGTTGTGCTGTGAGTTCCCCACGCTGGCGCTGCACAACGGAGTAATGGATTCTGTGCACAACGGCGGCGGCCACGGCGACACGGCGGCCGTCAAGGACCACGACGCCATCAAGCTGTTTATCGGCCAGATCCCGCGCAACCTGGACGAGAAGGACCTCAAGCCGCTCTTCGAGCAGTTCGGCGCCATCTACGAGCTCATCGTGCTCAAGGACAAGTACACGGGCATGCACAAGGGTGAGTCAGACGCGTGCGCGCTTTGTCCCGGCACCACGCGCCGCCGCCGCCGCCGACTCGGCCGGCGAGGGGGAGCCACGCGCGCTGCCTGCCCTCCCGAGCTCCTTTGTCTCGCCGCCCCGTTGCGTCATCGGGGATGCCGGGAGCCGCTTCTCGCCCGAGGCTCACGGCGGTCCGAAACGCGGCCCGCGAGCCTTCTGCTCGTGTTGCCTCGGCGAGCTCGCTCTGACCATCGTCCCACGTTCCCCGCGAGCGACCCCGGAGCCGGTGCGAGTAGCGGCTCTCGAAAGTGGCGTCACGTTGGAGCTGTCACGTCGACTGTAGCTCCTGAAGTACGACTCCGTCGTTGTGTGGCCGCGGCGTGCCAGTCCCTCGGCCAAAGGAAGCACCGGGCGCTTCAGGCTCTTCTGTCGCGCATCTGATATCTATGTAGTATGTGAGTCGTTAAAGCATGCTGCTGACACGCGTTTTATTCGGACTCCAGGCTTCCAACGTGATGCGTTTGCGAGTGATTGGATTGTGGCTGCCGTCATTATAATGTAATACCTGGTGATCATGATTTTGTAACCAAAAGGAAACTTTAATTGAGTAAGAGGCAATTTCTTTTCGTCCTGTTACGCCACGTTACGGGTCGCGGTTTTTAAGCGATTTGGTAGCTCGTGGCCTTGTCTCGAGGAACTCGAGCCTTAAGTCTCTGTGCAATGATTCGGAAGATTTAGAAAAACGGTGCATTTTATTTGGATGGCGGGTCGGCTCGAGCACGATAAAGGAAGACGAACATCCCTAGATAAGACGTTATGTCATATCGCCAAAAGTTGATTGTAGTATTGCCTGTTTATATATAGGAAACACTTGTCTTCGCAGACGTCGCTTTGGTGTTTGACAAAGGACATTGTTTGCTTAGGTTTTGAGAAATATAACATTTTAGGTTAAATGAAAAGCGCAACGTACTGGGGCAATTGCCAGATATCTTTGTGGCTCACTGATTGAAGAAATAATACCAGATCACGAGATGTTCTCCTTGGGCGCTCCCGTAGCGTCCAGGACATACCTGTGTGAAATTTTATAAATGAACTCCTTTACAGTTCCCCCGACAGTTGCTTAACTGAGTTCCTGCTTCGGCCAACTGGTGTGGTCTTCTGCTTCACCGGACTAAACTTGGTTTTTTGCTTAGTGAGTTATTTTGGATAGATTAAAAGTACCGCAAAGCAGAATGAGCGAAACTATCTGAAGGGAGGTGGACATCTGCATCTGTACTCGTTTGTTGTTTGTAATATCGATATGTTTACCTCGTACTGTGTTTAATTCCACTCGGTAGAGTGAGTAATCATGCGAATAAATGGAACAGTACTGCCTTACCTAACCGATCGCGTTTGTCCTGGCTGAACCACATTGTCTCACTTGATATTAAAAATAGGCCGCGGAACAAGGTGCTTTGAAATTAGCGTTTTCATTAATCACTGGACCAACAGACGAAGAGGAGCTTCATTAGAGGATTGTGCAAGGTACTTGCCACGACGCCGCGTGTTTTTTTGTTTTTTATTGTTTTATTTGTTGATTTTGTTTCAGTCTGCGGCCACATGGCCGTCATCCTGAATGGCTACGAAACTGCGTCTGATTCATTAAGATACATATATATATGCACGATGAAATGTAGATTTGCCAACAATTTTTGTTTTGATCCTGGGGATTTTAAGGCAATCCCTTATAGCGTTTTGTTAATTATATATATAATAAGAATATTAATCTGTGAATATCGCCAAGCGTTTCAATTTTTTTCCCTCTAACCCTAAAGTCAGGTGGTTGATTTTTTACAGCGTATAATCAGAAATATACAAAAATGGCGAGATATATTCTTAAAAAATCTTTTTCAAGTCATGTGTTAAAAATAAGTCATTTGTACAACAAATCATTTTTTTTTAAATTCCATACAAACAAAAGTCACAAAAAAGCTTTCGTGTACTCCTTCACTATAACATTAAGTACGTGGTGCATAATTATCACCCTCATTACATCAATAATGAATAGGAAGGCTGAGAGGCCGACGCAATAATCATTTCTGAATTGTCTAATTAAATAAATAGCCCATGACTATAATAACTTACCCCAGAATCCTAAACAAACTAAAACTATCTTAGCAGAACTACTTTGAGTGGGCATTTTTTATGTTTATTTAAAAAGAATTAAAAACAGTTTTGCCGCCATTTAAAATGAGCGCCGTTCGTGCAACGATATCGACAGGGAATCTTTTCTCACATTACAACAGCTTACTGGCACTTGTGGTCGCCAAGAATACTCAAAGGCAACGCCACTGACCAAGACGCGTCTTCGTCGTGGTGAAATTCCAAAGATAAAAGCGCACCTTTCCTTTCGGTCCCTCCTTCGCAAGGCTTAATGACGCAGCTGCGCGGACAATGCCAACAATGCGATTCCCGTCACTGCGTCATCAAGCTTTGCGATTCCCGCTGCGAGGATACGTAATGCGGCTCATACAGTTCACACGAGCCCTGCGAAGGCATTCGACTTTTGGCTGGCGACAATCGATGCCTGGACATTCATTCGGGTTGTGGCTCGCGCCCAATCGCTGGGATGGCGGGAACAGCCGAACCTTAACAATGCGCGGAGCTCAGCGCGCACTCTGTGCTCTGCCAACCGTAGCAGCGCGTGGCTATGCAAAGAAAAACATAGGCGGCATATGATTGGCTCCACATCACGTGACCGCTTGTTCTGCAGACGCGAGTTGACGTAATAAACAGTGTCTGTTCTTCTCAGATATTTTTTTTTTTTGCGACTGTCATTGCGTGGAGAAAAAATAATAATCGAGAAAGTTGGTTTTATTAGTTACAAATGTCGAGGAATAATTGTAAGCTATACTTATTGAAAATACAAATTGTTCCATCGCCTGGGCGTGCTCCCTCGGATCTTGCATGGGGGCCAGACGCGGGATGAAAGAGAGTCCGCCGTCGAGGATCGATGACCTGGCCCCCCGGGCAGGCCGAGAACACTGGCAGAAGGTCAACGTTCACTGCGAAGCTTCCAGAAGACTGCTCGGGCCGCCAGATTTTTCGATTAGCTTTGACCTCCTTCCTGTTTTGTTCCAAGAAGAAACTGGCTACATGCCACTGGTAATTCAGACTGATAAACTTTTAGTCGGCTTTAGTAGTAAGAGGTTACTTTCCTTATTACTACCGTAATCAGAAGACGTTGGAGGCCGAGAAAGAAGAAGATATTCGGAAATAAATGGCAGACGGGTCAGCGGAACTATAAAACTCCGTTGATTTTGCTTTCCTTGGGGGTTATGAGAATCACCCTGATAAAGGGAGTGTGACTAGGGTGCACCCAAATAAGCACTACTGTGCTAGTTCTTTCGGAAAACGAATCCTATGCCCTATTCACAGGGCCAGCATAAAGGTACCTTTAAAGGAGCACTGTAAAGGTACCCTTAAAGGAGCACTAACACCACAAATATCATATTTTCTTTGTTACCTAAAACGATGCGTGTTTTAGTCAAGGAATCAGTCGTAGATCCCTTCTTCAGGCGCCTGACAACCTGTCATACCTCGAAAAGGAAATCGTCAAACGGTCAAAACAACCGAATTCAGTGTCTGCGTGCCGTAATTTCGGTTGTGACTCCGCCGGGGCAGCCTTTCACAGAGAACCGGCACGACGTGGCCCCTTACGTTGCTCACAAAAGTCCACAGCCCGTTCTCTTCGACCTCACACCGTTTAAAAAAAAATTGAGGTCGCTGAAAGGGGCCTAAAAAAACTTCGAAGTCGAAAGTGGAGCGTCGTTTGCTCACAAGCGATAGGCGGCACGCACGGAGAAGAGCGCTGGATTGCGGCACGCGGGCGAACACGACACCTTGCGTCTGGACATTTCGGAAGCGTGAAAAAAAACTTGATTTGCAGAACGACTCAATTTTCGACGTCATTGCACTGGCGCGGATTATGGGGGAACTTGAAATTCGACTTTTGGAAATTGTTTCTTTACTTCGAAAATACTGAGTTTCCAAGTTTCGAATTTTGAGGATAATGTCCAGGTATCGTTTTCAATCGTTTGGGATAATAAAAATATATTATTTTGACCTGTTAGTGCCGCTTTAACATAAGCTTCCACTTGCAGTCGGCGAATCAGCCCTCGGTGTTTGGTCAGAAGCACATGCCACACGCGGATGATCGTGAATTGATTCGCCGCAGAGAATAAAGGTCCCTTAGCTAAAGGTACCTTTATGATTGTGCCAATGGGGCACGATCAGAAAGTCCCCTTTAGCAAGAGGAGCTTTATGATTGGCGGCTAAGCAGTTCGTGATCCTACGCGCGCGACATGTGCTCCCGACCCAAGAGCGCGATTTGATTCGACGATTGCAAAGGGACCTATTTTAAAGTTACGTTTATGCTGGCTTTGTGAATGGGTGTTTGTCGCTGATCCCATTCCTCCTTCCTCCTCTCTGCTCCTCTATCTCTTTTTTTCTTCCTATTTCCCTTTCGCATCGACAGTGACATGTACGCCCAAAACGCAGCTAACTACGACGTCGATTTTCTGATAAACATCGCTCCAACAGCAAGCCGAGATATGAAGCGCTTTATTAATTGTCACAGGCATTCACCACACCGATGCACAGGTTTGTGTTGCGATTCTTTAGTTTTTTTCCTCGTTCTATTTGATGGGCTAAGATGGTAATTTTTTCAGCAATTTTCTCTCCTTACTCGTTCCTTCCACAAGGAAAACCGTACTAGTGTAGGCTTTGAATGTTGAAATATTGAAATTCGTTAGTGCGGCTAAAAACAACACAAGAGCATTACCTGTTTTGTTCAAAAGAATAAAGAAAACAATTGTTCCTTTATTACCAAACAAAAAATGTAACTAGTTACCAATGACAAACCATAACCGCGCCGCTTTCCGTACAAGGCTGGCACTACGCAACCGTTTCGCGCCGTTTTATTTATCACTCGAGCCCGAAGTAATTGGAAGCAAGTTTGTTATTAGCGTCATTAGGGCC